AGCCAACCAACATTACTTTCATTCGTTTCATTAATCGTTTTCAGACCAAACAAAGGGAGAAGGTAAATCGTGGTAAAAGAAATGGACAGTAGGATATCACAAGCCTCGTCCGGCCCTGGCCCAGTTCTTATCCGCCATGTCCTTGTCCGCCTCCTGAGACGGCAGAGTTCCACGCATTCTCGCTTCATACCATGGCAGCAATCATGTTACTAAGCGACAGAACCCACTCCGATGTCGTGGCGGACACGCTTCTGCTCCTTCCACACCGGCACTCAGGCGTTGGCTCCTTGCGGATCATACACAGGTGATCTCCGAAGCATCCTTTCTCGGTAATCACCTACGTCAGACGGTATGAGGTGAAAGTCAATCGTCAATAACGCGTCTTACCACCGCGTTAACGGCGTGCCCCCCCCCCCCCCCCCTCCCTTGGCCACTCCTGTAATATATTTGTTCGTCAGGTACGACAACGCACTACAAATAATTAGTAGTAGAAAATAATAGTGAATAAAGAGTTTTTTTTTACCATTATCACTGTTTTGTAGAGTTCATGATCAAGAGTTGGCTTAGAGATTAAACATTATTCTGCAAATTTAAACCAGGATGCTCTATATTTTTCATAGAAATTAACAATACATACTTGAAACTGCACAGTTGTATGTAATGAGTACATGTCATGTGTTCAATTTTAACACATTTACAGTCTCAGCGTTACCCATAGCGAGGCCCCGGGCGGGTAGATTATTGCGAGGCCCTTGTCTTTGTGAAACTACATAGTTTTAATGATGATACTTGAAACAAAAAATTCAATGCAACACATACTGCTACTCGAACATAAAAGCGAACTCAACTACGGTTGACACTGACAGCGTGTCAAAATGACCGGCGGAATGAAACACGGGAAATACCGCCAATGTAAATCGTAAACACCATAAGAACTACCACGCAAAAGAGCGTTGCTAGTAGCGTGCCGTGAGTTTTATAGTGGAAGGCGTAAGGCGCCAAATTCAAATAAACATATTTTCTTCTTAGGTTGTTGCGCGAGTGCGCTAGGCCGCTACGATGCTCGCCACCCGCAAAGGCCACCCCTACACATGTACTTATGTAAGTACTTATTCAGTCCGGAAGTAAGTACTTTTGCACTTTTTCTTTTGGAAATTATTTATTCAAACGTGATCAGGCAACGCCAAACGAACATTACAAGAAATACAGATCATACTAGTAGGTAAATTATTTTAATTCGGCTGCAAAAGACAATTTGTTAATAACGACAAATGATAAGTGCGATCCGGCGCCGCGCGGCGAACCCTCGCGTATGTCACAGTGGTTTATTTACATTCTGTCACCGCCAATAAATGTCACCGGCGTAGATTGTTATGGCACGAAATGTAAAGTTACTAATAATAGATAACTAATAGTATCAGCGGGAGATAAGCGGCGCGCGGCTCTTTATCGCAGCGGACAGTTTAAAAACAATACGCACGCACAGTTCAACGATACTTCGTTACATATTAGACTCGTTGCAGCCCCTCACTGTTTACAAATGGAGAAAGTTATTTAATGTTTATCGAAGTAATTGTATAATTTTAGGCCACTGATGATTTTTAAATAATTAAAAAAAAAAATGCATTGCTCTTATAACAAAATCAGTGTGCAACCCAACCCGTACGAAGCCATGTCGCCGCATAAATTGCTATTAGGTATACACGTGAGTCGAACAATGTCACCTGACCGATTTATACAATAGAATTCAAATAAAAAACATAAACCGGGATAAAGTCAACCAATTATAAAAATAGTGTTTTAGGCGGTGCCAAATCGCTTTCAGTCGATACAAATAAGAACGCGGACGCTGCTAGGAACGCAGATATACAAGTCTTTAAATAAATGATTAAGCGGCATGGCAGTATTGCACACGGCAATGCTCCGGTCGCGGTGGTCTACCGGTCAAACGCGGCTGCCATTCGTAGTCACCAGAATGGAATGAACCCTTAGCGAGTAAGAACTCGTCCAACAGCCAATGTATGTGAAGGAAAGCTCAACTGATACAGCTCATTCCACAAGTGCTCTTGGGCGAAGACAATCAAGTACCTCGATTAAGGGCGGAGATGTGGATAATTTATTAAATTATTTGAGCGTTACTTGAAAAAGGGAAAAAGTAACGTGAGCCTAATCACACAACTAGCGCGGCCGTGAGGGATTTATGCGTGTGCGTGTTCCGCCTGTAGGCTGTTCCAATTTATCCATACCATAGGTCGCAATCATGTTGATTTTAGCTTTTTTGTCAAAGAAATTGCAATTTTATGATTTGTAAAGTATCAGTCATCTTTGTATCAGCTTTTTCCCATTATTTAGTAAATAAAGAAAACTGAATTATTCCTACAAATGACCAAATGAATATACTGTGAAAGTTGTAGCCTTTAACTCTTAATATTGAGATTGGTGGACCAGAAGTAAGATACAAGTCAACCTCAATAAATGCAGCCAAATTGTTTTCTACCGAAATATAAAATGTATAGATAACGCTTATCATGTGTTTGGTGTTGAAGCAGAAGTGAGAATATAAAAGATCGGGCCGTTATTCTAGATAGAAAACTGACTATTACACCTCACATTGATACAGTTATCAAATATCCTTCAAAAGCGCTTGGCTTTGTTGGCAACGCTAAACTGTCACGTTCCACAACCCCAAACTAAAACACTACTGTATAAATGTATTGTTCACATCATTCTCGACTACAGTTCGGTCGTTTGGCGTCCACGCAATGCTAGACATATTCTTAGAATGATACGCACTCAAAAAAGGTTTTTAAATCATCTAGCTTATTGCACTGACATTGCAAAAACGGCGTGAAGTTACACTGAGTGATTGCCAATTTTTAATATAATATCGCTCGAAACACGACAAGAATCACTAAAAAACAAAAAAAAAACGGAACCGCTATAGGATCACTTTGTTGTCCGTCTGTCTGTCTGCCAAGACCCTTTATCTCGGGAACGCGTTTACGTATCGAGTTGAAAATAAAACCATATGTTCAGGTCAACGGTCCCTTGAAGCTGTAAATAATTAAACGCCTAAGTTAACGTAAAAAAAGGTACGGCCGTTTATGCCACAAAAAAGAACATATTTCGACCATATTTCTCAAGGGAATCAAAATTCACAGGGTACTTCAAGTTGACCTATAACTATGTAATTTGGCAAGTCGTCTTAAACTACAAGTACAAGGAAAAATCTGAAAACTATACATTTGTAAATAAATCATAAAAAAATATAGTCTTTATTTAAAGTACGTGATCAATCATCAAGGTACAATTTCTCTTATAAAACTCAAAAATATAAGTAATTATAGGTTTTGGAAAAAACTTCTAGAATCGTTTCTTGAACTATTTACTCAAAATGTGTACGGAAACCTCGGTGGGCTAGTCCGACTCGCACAAGTCTTAATTTTTTATAAACTGCCAAATATTTTTATTGATTGCTCTCAATTATTATCTAAAATCAATTTTAATGGCCCTCGTAAGTATCACCTCATCAACAGCCTTTACTAGTCCACTGCTGGGCACAGGCCTCTCCTTAGAAAGGAGGTGTTGGCCTACTATACCACGCTGGCCAGACGGGTTGTTCTAGGATTTGTTTTAAGTTTTCCTTCTCTTTGCAGTGCTATTGTCCTGCGTAGTTTACTCCCTTAGTCGGCTCTTACGACACCCACGGAATGAATAGGGGTGGTGACACTGTATTCTTAATCCGTCACCACACGGACATCACCTAAATGCTGTCAATCTACTAAACCCACCATTACGCAAAACGGTTCTTGGCTTTATCTCTCCAATACCAAGACTAAGATTAAGATTTTTGTAATAAATTCGTAATCAGTTCGACAATCAATAACAAGTTTCAGAGCCAGGTTGAAAACAGGGCCAAGTCTGTCACCCTAGCGGCAGCCTGTCCTTTAGTTTGTAGAATGGGAACGCCGTGGTTCCCACACACGAGGGGGCCATCTACAAGTCGTAGATGTCCAGGGGTACGTCGGGGTACCAGGGATTCCCTTTCTAGGGTACACCTGGTTCCCCGACTACTGGTACCTGAGACGGCGTGCGGTTTTTAGTCGGTTAGAGTCCTAAATAACCACCGGCGGGTGGTATCCGAGGGGAATTTTGCAAAAAAATAATAATTGACAACAGAACTTATTACTGTCATTAACCTAGTTTAATTAAATTGTATCATTCTCTGTCTCATTACCTATTAAGTTTTATAAACTCTAGGCCATATTACTGTTTGTTAGCTTTGTGTATTTTTATTTCTCTGAATTACCAAAATATTTACCAATGGATTGTAACATTAGGGAACTGTAAAGGATGTAGTAGTTTCCTTATTATCTAGTAACGTTTCGACTTGTGTTTAATTTTAAGTTGTTTAAGCGTTGATCGTAATCCGCTACCACACAAACGACAAGTCGGTGTGATCACGACGACTCGACGCTCCATATAAAGATAAATGAAACATGTGGCTTTGCAAACATATTTGAACAGAAAACAGTTTAATTATTCAAGTAGACGTTGTTTTCGTGCCCGTGTTGTTTTGTCTTCAGATTGGTTAATTTAATGGCTGGAATGTACGTATATTAATTAAACCGGTTGCGCGGCGGCGGCGCCCGCTCACTCGCTACCGTAAAATATAGAAATCGTCAATAAACATTACAACTTATGACATTTACAAACTGTGTGACTTCTAACAGATTGAGAGGAGATAGAGTCGAACATACGTATCTCTCAGAAACTGGAATTGTTTGGTTCGTTGGTTTTCGAAGTGCTGGGACCCTAGTAACTATAACTTATTTAATATTGAAGGTCTACATTTTATCTTTAGTGTAGGTGAAGGCGTATGTAACAAGTGAAGGCTCTGTCGTGTGAATGTCTTTCGTTTGGATATGTGTGATTTCGTGTCGATATCAGCTTAGCGCAAATAGATAGTTTTGCGCAAGTGGCTGCTGGCCCTCACAAGGTTATCGCGAGGCAAGAGTTTGTAAGTGCACCCACGTCACAACGAACACGCGAGTAGGAAGGAACAGCGACACAGCGCAGCGCTCTCCACTGCTCACGAACACTTGTGCACTGCACATCGCTGCACCGCATGCGCAAGCACTCATTAGCTTTACCTGGAACCGAGATGTTATCATGCGCATATTAACTGCATTCAAGTGTTCGTTATGTCTAAAAGAAAATACAGCAAAACGTTTTACTAATAACAAGACAACATTTCAATATATTTTCTTCAAAAGCTACCGTCTAAAAGTCAAAATCATATACTGTTGACGAAATTGGTCGCGGCAACTAAACTCAACGAGACTAGTGAACTATATTGGAGATAGTTTACAACTGAGAGCCTAGTGTAAGTTTATTTCACTTCTACTCGATCGTCACGGTGTTCGCGTTCGGCATTGCGAAATGCCCACACTGATATCTTCACCAATCACAACGCCAAACGCACTCACCATCGAAAGCTAGTTGATGAGAAATAAACTCACACTAAGCCCTCTGTGCTCGTACACACAGGTGCAATCGTGCCTTTTTTAAAGGGCTTAATTGGCACAAGAGCGCACGCCCATTTCATTACCTTCAAAAGCACCACTAACTTCCTAATGCCAAACATTTCTTGGTAGAAAAACTATTGAAACTTTTTACGAATAATTATGAAACCTAGAGGTGAAAACCGAAAAGTACCAAGCAGACAAATTAATATTTTAATTCATCAATTTATACATAAAATATGTAAATATAATTATATAGTCATAGAAGCGTGTCGAACCGTAAACGGAGACGGAGCTGCCGGCCGTATTCAAGAACAAATAGTTGGAGGTGGAGAACACTGAATGAGACTAATTGCGCCACTCGTTATCATTCGGTGCGTACAACTGCGCTGACAACCGACACTCTGTTGGCCCGCTCAACCACTCGTTACACAAAACAAACAGATAATTCCACCCACCGTACAGTGTCACAGTGATTACTTCTTAGAAACACAAAGGGCGAGTGTGTTACAGTCTCGAAGCGCAGGGACCTTTTACAGACGCCTAACTGTCGTGGTAAGTGTCATCCATGCCATTAACACGACTACTGTCGTATGCTACCATCCCGTCACGTGACGGACTAGACGGACAGACAATTTCGACATTTCTCTTTTCTTATACCCATTAACATTTTTGTGGAGTTCTGTCGCCGGCGCTGTTCTGGCTGTACGTATACTTAAGAGGCGGTGGCAGACATCGTTGTGCTCTCTTGAATAGTAATAGTAGTTGGTCGATACTCGTATTCCTAAGAGATGGCACAAAATGGATTTAGGGTTCTAATGTTTATCTAGCTTTGGCATAATGTGGTTGCACTGATGAGAAATTAAGATCAAAACTATAAAAACTAACGAAAAAAAACTATCTAACTATGAGGTAGGAGTCCTCCGTGAGGCCCGAACATCCACATGGCCAATCGTGCCGTCAGTAACGTCGACGTCGACGGGTCTGTATGTAGTAGACATAAGAATGTTGACTACTTCTAAATCATATTCATTTGATGAAAAGATTGGCTGTGGTCACTATGATTTCATCTGAGATAAATCACTACTTAGATTTGGTCATAGATAAAGATAAATGCCATCAAAATTAATGAAACCAATTTTTTTTGGATTTAGTCCTTTCGCATGTCTGGCGCTGGCGTAATAATAATAATTAGTCCCAGTGATGTTGTAGATGAGTCACAGATGTGTTGAAAACATTTTAAAATCATATGATGAACTATATGTGATTGTGATTTTCATGCCTAGTATGAAGGCTTCCAGAGGGTTAGGCTCTGACATGATCAGTTCCTCGCGGCCTCGGGGCTCGGCTCACCTATGCAAATGAATTTTTTTGTAAATTTCTTTCTTAATTATAACCACCATAAATAATAACAGTTTTTTACTTAATTAACTTTTATATGCGCCGTTAAACGACGACCTTGGCTTCATCATCTCCTACTCATTCAAATTAAATGTAAAATGTAATTATATTTTCTATACTCCGCAAAGTGCACGACTCTATTAAATAGCTAATTGACCATTCGCTTATTTCGTTTGCCTCTGAATCGTGTTACATGTGTAAAACTGGAAACGAAAATCCACAGGCAAAATATCCGCCTTGAAGGCTAAACCTGGCAGAGAGATGCTTCGGCACCGGAGTGATACCACGGCCTCACAGTAAACCGCCGTTAAGCAATTCTTTCGTTTCGCTTTTTACCGAGTCGGTGACATTAGTTTTTTTACAGAAGTGAAACACACTGAAACTACATGTTATGCTTTAGCGTCTAAACTACTAGACGAGAAAAAAAACTGTTTTCATTGTTTGTATACGTTACTCGCTCACTTAGCCTACTATAGTAGCTAGAATGTTCCTCGTGTTGAAAACAGAACTGCGTTTACCAGTGGCTCCACTTTTAGTTGCCTGTTGGCAATATTGGCAGATTGAGTGGGTACTGTAAGTACCTACTCGCCATTAGCCAGGGCCCGTTCGGGGTTCGCTCGAGCTGAGGCGAAGACGCGCGTCGCTTGCTCGGCCACGATCACAGGCGCCACAGTCAAGAGACGGCCTTTGCGCAGTGCGCGCGCGTCCCTTTCGATGTCCACCGCGCCACTGCGTCACGCATTACTCGCGCGCTCTCCACTACGGATGCAGTGTATTGTGATTTACGTTTTACATATCCATAACAGTACACCTTTTTTCGAGAATTGGTGTACCTATTCAGTGTTTACAATTTAGCGTAGTGATAACTCCGACCCGACTCTTGAGTGTTGTAAATACCAATGAATTTTCAATGAAAAACCAACGCCAATCTATTACAAAATACGGTTGCAATAACATTCAGTTTGGACGAGTACAAAAGCACGGGTGTAGCAAGTGACATAACAGATAGGTAATATCCGTCTATTGTGATAACTGACATTACTTAGCTTAACTTAAACGATATATTTTAAGGAAATGCAATTTTAGTAGATATCTACGATCCGGTGGGAATTGAAGCGCCCTGTGCTGCGCCTGGAGCTAGCTCCTTGTACAACTTGTAGCAATGTTGTCGTAGCAACTAAGTATGGCTAGTTATTAGTCACTTAAGACTTAATATCTACCTAAACATTGATCTATGCGACATGAATTTTAAACCTACACTAACAGCTGCAATACAGCAGTCTGTATTGCAGCTGTTAGTTTAGGTGTTAGTTCGGCTAGATGGAGGATCTAGATGGAGGATGGATCCCCTCATTGCATCTGTGCAATGAGGGGATTTCCACCTAGCAGTTCGGTATTCAGTTTTTTAGCTTATCATTTTTATATTTGAAAGCTCATAAGCTTGTGTTTCGTGTAGTAACGACGGACACTGGACAGTCCTAGTCGGCACAATTACTTTTCAAAGGGCATCACAGATGAGGTGCGCGGTCAACAGTTCCTGTGTCATGTGTAGTAGGTGTACCACTGATCACACGGACTTGTTCAATGAACACGTCTACTGTAATGTAATTAAACAGTTATTTTGTGTGTAATGGGTAGTTACTCTACACAGTAAACCGTAGGAGCGTTGAACACTTAACGTCACAATAAAATGCGTAGTTGAAGCACGTCGTACGGACATACCCATCGGTCGGATTGGCTAATGATCAGATACTCATTTTAAACAAAATACAGTTGAGTAAACCACTTTTCTAAAAGTAAAACAAACACATACAATGTGACGAACGAAGAGTAGCTAATAATTAAAGCAACCCACACAATATACATAAATATGAATGTAAAAACAACAAAATCTTGGACTTCTTCTGAAATGTGCAATTCGCTTCTTCTCGCCAGCTGCCCTGTGGCTCATTCAGTGTGCTATGATATAAATGTAAATAAAAATAACATTGAAAATATGAAGCTATCACCTATTTACTCGATAAGGACACGCATACATACACACAACAGATACATGTTTTGAATGTATTATTTGTAGCAAAAATAAATAGAGCGCTAAGCAATCTAATTGTTTGTAGCGCCATCTAGTTAACAGCGAGAGACAACTGTGAAGATAGTGGCATCTAGTTAATAAGAATATTCATGGATGGACTTGAATTTTTCCTATCACTGGTGACGGATTAAGAATACAGAGTGTCACCACCCCTATTCATCTCGTGGGTGTCGTAAGTCGTCGGGTGACTAAGGGAGAAAACTACGAAGAACAACAGCACTGCAGAGAGAACGAAAACTGAAAAAAAATTGAAAATAAATTTGAAAAAAAGCGTTGGGTGCCTGCCTCAATAGTAAAAACGCTTTTTTTTTTCAAATTAATTTTCAATTTTTTTTTTTTTTTATCCTTACGTTAACGGTTTGAAACGGGTAAACCACTATTAGTTCAATATTTATATGGCACCCTCAGACATGTAGTCAGTCAGGATGTGTTGTGTAAAAGTTACTAACAAAACAATAGTCCACTGCTGGACATAGGCCTCCAGAAAGGAGGTTTTGGCCTACTGTACCACGCTGGCCAGACGGGTTGGTATAGGGTTTGTGTCAAGTTTTCCTTCTCTCGGCAGTACTGTTGTTCTGCGTAGTTTTCTCCCTTAGTCACCCGACGACTTACGACACCCTATTTTTTTACTATTTTTTAGTTTGGTTTTCTATAGAAAGCGTGTTTTTTAGTTTTTTAAAACTATTTTCTTTAAATTAGTGTATTTTCATCGGTCCTCGACATATCTACAAAGTTTGAACGAATTCTGACCGTTTAAAGTCAGTCAAAATCACGCCCAAAGGAGTCGGTTACAAACATACAAGTGAAGCTAATATAAAGCGTGAAAAAAAATGGGAGGAAAGTAAGGACAGAATTATTCTTGCAATACGATCTCACAGTTCTGTGCGTGATATTTAAATCTATTTTGTTTCGTGCAAAGGTCCTGCAGCCATAGTCAGCTTATATACCTGTAACGACTTGTTTCCAGTGCTTCGCGTCACAGGGCGCTCGCCATGCCGCTGCGTCTGTCAGCTCACTGCTGCACGACCAGGTATGCCTAACAGGTAAATATTACCTTTATTTGTATGTGATTAATGAAGTAAGTAAAGACTCAGCATCAACAGCTAAGGTGGAACCGCCATTTGTTATTCCTTTAAAACATCGTTTGTAATGTATCGGACATGACATCCTTAAAAATATAAAACGTGAAAGACGATGATTCATGTATATCCAAAGAGAGAATCAAAGCTAATCAAAAATATACATCAGGACATTTTTTACAACATAAAACAAATAATTTCAGTGGAGCCGTTTAGCTTACACTGATATAATTATAGCAGCTAAAATAAGGAATTGGGAATTAGTTAGATAACAATTTTAAAGCCTGCCTCTCTTAAATGAGAAAAACTAAAAGATTTTTTTATGTTAGTAGATATTTTTATTTAAGGATGGCTTAATACTAAATAATAATAATAATAATATTCTACCACATTCATACAACGCCATCTAGTCCCAAACTAAGCAGAGCTTGTACTATGGCTACTAGGCAACTGATATAAATACATATATACTTTTTTTTTTTGTAAATACATACATATTATACATAGAAACACCCAGACCAAATCAAACATTAAATGTTTAAGCACACAAATATTTGACTTGAGCGGGAATCGAACCCGCGACCTTTGGAATAGCAGTCCGTTACACAAACCACTATGCCATCCGGTCGTCAAAAAATAATATACTTTAATATTGTTAATCATAAGATAACTCAGTAGTAGGAAACGCTTTACGCCTGAATATATATCTCTTACGCCTGAGTTCATCGATTTCTCTTTATATTCGTAGAAATCTCCTAATCCTAAAAATAAAATAAAATAAAATTCTTCATAGCATTGGTACTTAAAGTAAACATAAAAACAGATAACAAAACAAACTGTCAACAAGTCCATAAACCGAACCGTCATCCATATGTCACGTGTAACGCTTCATTGAAAACTTGCAAAATTGTATTTTTTGTTGGGCAGCAATCGTTTTTTTTATGTTAGAGAGGGCAAACGAGCAGACGGGTCACCTAATGGAAAGTGACCATCGTTGCCCATGAACGTCTGCAACTCAGGAGTCAGAAACACGTCGCCGGTTTTTAGAAAGGACTACGCTCTTTTCTTGAACGTTTGAAGGTCGTATCGGTCCAGATTAGTTCGCGTTCGACCATAGAGATAATACAGATTCGGAAAGACCGTCGAAAAAAAGAAGACGGTGACCACTTCGGGCCAACAAATCAGCGAAGAGGTGCGAGAGAGACGCATTGAAATCGTGCGTGAAAACAGATCCGAGTCAAACTACCCGGAATTAACGGCATGGTCAACGTTATCCTACCAACAATATTGACTTTAATTTAGGGTTAACGTGATTTTAATTTAGGGTTAAAAATGTTATTTGTGATCTGACCACCAGCGGCTTACTGAGTGAGTTACGCGCAGAGTGTTGTGGGTTCGATCCTCACCAACCATCAACCCGCTTTTGGGGGACAAAGAATGTAATGTCATGTATATAAAATAAATTTGATGTTAAATAAATAATAATAAACACTGTGTGATCCACAAACTGTTGTTCTGAGTTTGTGTTATTTGTGTCCATTTCATGATTGTTTGTCAAGTCCCCCGAGCCACAGGATATATATTCCTAACGCGGATATATAGGTGCGCCACCCAGTTCCGACTCACGGAAAATACTCACTGACTGCAGGCACTATCACGCCCTGCAAGGGAGAATAGACAGCTCAATCGATTAAATTTGTTGTGGAGGAAAGGGTGTCATGTCCCACCAACGCAAAGGAAGGATCCTCCGACCAAGCGTGGTGACCATGTCTGGCGGGCCCCGGCCCAACTTTTGATGTTGTGAAGTAGTACATATATTCTAATCGGTAAAAGAATTAATCATTTCGCGATATAGGATTAGCAGTTACTCCATAGTTCGGTGTTTCTTCGTTAGATGGCGCTGTAGTACGTTTCTTCTTTTAACCGAATGTGAAAGTCGACACACTGTGATCATCCAATTTATTTATTTATTTCATTGAATAGGAATAACAAACAGCTACAACATACAGTTTACAAAATAATCTAAACAATATAGCACTTATGCTATATTGTAGCCCACAACGTATAATAATGTTATATTGTTATAATGTTATTATACATACAAGTAATAACTCAGAACGCAAAGTCACACAGGAATGTGTTCACTTGCAGGGATAGCGACGTAGTGAATAACGCATTACACGCGTGGACGTAGATCAGAAGATATTCAAAGTTAAAATCATCGTTCTATATTTTTGTACACCGTAGGCTGGCAGGCTTTTTGCAGGTTGAAAACAAGCAGCAGTTAAAAACAGTAAACATTATGGTTGCTTTTGTATTGTTTTTTTTTTACTAATTTAATTATTTAAACAGCGTTGAAGGTAATCTTAAATGTAATTATTTGCACTATAGTTTTCTCGGAAACCTTAATTGCTGCATGAATTACATATTGTGTCAAAGCGCGGCCATACATTTGCAACCTCAGTGCCGCCCGTTCTTGTCCGACATCTGTATAACCAAATCTGTAACTTTGTTATTAACACAAGAGGCACACTTCACGATGAACTATTACCCTAAACGGTCTAAACACGCAACCTGCCTGTCCCTCTCTGACTGATTCAACCTTACATTGGGGATGCAACAAAATTTAATTTATAAAATACAAGTGCAATAAAACTTTTCGCTGACGTTTTTAAATTTGAAATTTAAGAATATTTTAATGTTAGAGAGTAGTAGGTGTAAATGGCCTGTTGGCACAATAAATACCATGCCACATTACGTAGGTACCATTTAAAGCAAATAAGTAATTTGAATTTGAACGTTTGTTACTAGATTTCAATTTAGTAACATCTATTCAATTTAGAATTTAGCTAAGTTGTTTACAATAGGGCAGATAAATGAATTCATATTGATAATTCCAATGTAAATGAGGAACTAGACATATTAGGCACCGACGTCATTCGTGTCACTAACACTTCCACCATGATTATGTTTCCAGCTGGTGGTGCGTCCTTGCGGCGTTGGTTGCCGTCGCCGGAGAACCAACTGACCCACGAGCAGGTTTGCACTTTCATCTACTGTAACATACTTATCGTTGGATCAGTGAAAACGGTAGGTCCTCCAATGCAAAAGTAATATCATAACGCAGTTGCAATTCCGAAAAGTTGTTTAACTTTCAAACGGTCAAGATTTTTCCATTGGAGCAACCTATACTGGGGTCACTTATACTGAAAGTTTTCAGAAAATAAGAAAATAAATTATAAAGTAGCCTGTTCATATTTTTATAGCTTTTCGAAGTAGTCTCCGTTCCTTTGTTAGCACCGTCGATGGAAACATTGACCTAGCAGTGAGCCCACTATTCTTTATGGATCTCTTGCTAGCTTTTTTAAACGCAGCCACGGCCTCTTCAGGCTTTCTTAAAACCAATACCTCTAAGTTTATCTTTTATTTCTGGAAGTAAATAAAGTCACAAGAGTCGTTGGCAGAAAAATATACTTCATTATCATCAACTATCATTGCAACATATTAAACATTCAATAATATATACTTCAATATAAAATATATATATATATACGAATATATATTACGTATAAATGAATTGACTGCACGGATGGCGTAGTGGTTTAAGTGGTCGCCACGCCGCTCACTACTACGCTGAGTGTTGTGGGTCCGATCCCCACAAGGGACGACACTTTGTGTGATCCACAAATTGTTGTTATGAGTCTGAGTGTTCTCTGTGTCCGTTTCTTGTATGTTTGTAAAGTCCCCCGCGACACAGGATATATTCCTAATGCGGGAGTTGTCCATTTTTATAAATTAATATATATATTTAAAGATATAATTATAAATATATCAGGGCCTCAATTCTGCTATTTTATGTTCACGCCAAGCCAGTGTCATACCACTGACACGCTATTGAGATGCCATCGAGTGGCCATTGGCATCGGTATAAATATCGGTAGTTGAAAATATATTACGTTTTTTGAGGAAATGATTTATTTATTTTTATTAAAATAAATAAATTAATTAAAATAAATTATTAAAAAAATAAAATTAGAAGATTTTTTTTTAGATATTATGATAAAAAATATAAAATATAAGAATTATAAAAAAAGTAATAAATAAATTATTAATTATTTATATATTTGGACAACCAACAAGAACATACACCTTAAAAGCAAGAGATACAATGGCAGTGATATACAACCATTAGTGCTGCCTTAATTACAAGTTGCCACGGAAAGCATAGTAATAAAAGAGAGCTGGGAGCGTAAGGCTTCCCCTAACTTAAAAAAGAAGAAAAAAAAAAGACTTGAACAGACACTTTCTTACAGAATAATTATTATTATTTTAATTTAAAATAAATAAATCATTTCCTCAAAAAACATATATTTATACTTATTTATACCGATGCCAATGGCCACTCGATGGTATCTCAATAGCGTGTCAGTGGTATGACAGTGGCTTGGCGTAAACATAAAATAGCAGAATTGACGCCCAGGTAACTGTCTACCGTCTCCTTCGGGAAAATTGTATCATCTAGTTTAATTCGTCGACAGTGTACCACTCCGACGGTGATTCGGGTGGACGCAACGTATCGCTATGCGTCGTGACGCTGGACGGCGCCGGCGACACGGCCGCCGCGCTGGGCGCGCTCGCGGCGGCGGCGCTGGGCGCGCGCGGGGTGCGCTCGCGCTCCGTGCACGCGCCGCCGCACTGCGCGCGGGGCGCCGGCGCCAGCGCCGCCTGCCGCCGCGCCGTCCTGCGCGGGCTGGTCGCGGGCCAGGCGCAAGTCGCGATCCTGCCCTTGCCCGCCGCGCGTCCCCCGCACGTGCTGGAGCTACGCGACAACGGGCTGGAGGAACTCGGTGACGCGACACCGCCTGTGCGCCTCGCATGCGCCGCTTCGGGAGACGCGGGCGCCCGCTCACTACTGGACTTCGTAGACGAGGCGCTCGCCGCTCGTTACGGCTCGTCGTCGCCCAACTCCGGAATCGTATCGCCAGAGTAGGTATCGTACCGCTCACTTCTTCACCGTTTCGAGGACGTGCACCGCGTCAACGGGGTTCTAATTCGTCTTTTCCAGATCGATCTGCTCGATCGCGAATCGGACCGTCTACGAGTACACTCCAGAGTGGTGCGAGACGGGAACGCCCTGTGCCGTATTGCTCACCGGCTACGAGGAGGAAGCGCGGGAACTGGAGGGAGCGGTGCGACGACATCGGCTTCGGGTACGAGTGCGCGCGATCGGCTCGTGCCTGACGCGGATCGACTCCTCGTCGGCGACTGGACCGTCACTGGTGTGCGCGCGAGAGGTCGATCCGGCTGCGCTGCGGCTGACGCCTATAGGCACACCGCCGTGCCTCGCGACCGAAGACGTGTGCCCGTTCGATCCGTACCGCCTCGTCAAGGTGGTGAACGCGCGCGAACTCGTCTACTCGCCGACCGCGTCTAGAATACTAGGACGACTGGCCGTCACGGACGTAGAGCTGCGGGAGCTGGTGCGGCGGCCGGCGACCGGGGCGCGGGAGCTCGTGGAGAGACACCGTGAGTGGACGGCGGGCGGGGAGGTGCGCGTGGCCGTGATGATCCCGGCTTCCACGCAGCGCGAGGCGTTCGACGGCGCCGCCCTTCGCGCGGCCGCCGTTCTCGCGGAGCAGGACGCGCCGCGCGACGACGCCGTCGACTTTAAAGTAGAGCTCCTGGACGACGGCTGTGCGGCCACGCAAGCTTTTAAATATCTCACTGACGCACCTGGCGCCGAGTACGGCGCGCTGTCGGGCGTGGCGGGCCCGGCGTGCGGGGCCGCCTTCGCCGACGTGGCGCGCCAGAGCCCCGGCCTGCGCCTGCCCGTGCTGGCGTACACGCCGCAGGCGCCGCCGCCCGGCGCGGCGCTGTCGCTGCTGGCGGCGGGCGACTCGCGGCAGTACGCGCGCGCCTGGGCCGCGCTCGCCGCGCAGCTCGGTTGGCGCCGCGTGTCGTTGCTGAGCGAGCTGGCCACGCGCGCCACCGTCGACCCGGCTGACCTCGGACTGGACGTGGTGGTGCACGTCGAATTGACAGCGGACCGCGGCAACGTAGACTTCGATCTAATAACCCGGGTACGATTCACTTCATTTTTTTACACGATTTTATTAGCTTGGTATGACGTGCAGCAAACGTGATTTTGACCCACTTCAAAACTTCGAATTACATTGAAACTTATCGAGGACCGATGATAACAATGCAACAGTTTGATATATTGGCCGATTATCCGGATCAGGATATTCAGGATTAATGTCTTTTGCCACACGTAAAAATACGGTAGTGTCATTTGCAACGTTAGTACGTTTACGTAAATACCGTGTTTTTACGTACGGCAAAAGGAGAGGCGTGAGCTGATGACTTACTCGCTTAGTTTTTGTTTTAGCCTAAAGGAGAATAATCGAGAAATCATCATTAATGATTAAAAAAACAAAAATAAATAATTATAACTTAAAAACCGTGGAATGCTTTACTTTTACCAATATCCGTCAATAAAATATTTTTACAACAATTAAGATCTAGCACCCGACGCATATTTACGATAAAATGATTTTTCTTTTTGGGGTCATAGAAAATTATTTTCTACTTTTCAGTTCGTCTAGTTACAGAAGCGTCTTTTTTAGTTTCTTTTAACTATTATTTATTTCCTTCCACTGTTCTTGTTGTAGCTTAAACGTATAGATACTTTAGAACGGCAAAGTCACGTTTATTGGACATCAGTATTTTATATTCCGTGACCGTGATTCCAAACCACGCAGTTATTAACTTTTTAACGAACGCTGAGTGTTCTGCGGCGCGTCGTGCAGTGGGCGGAGCGCACGGCCGCGGTGCACGGGCGCGTGCTGTACGTGAGCGCGGAGGACGCGCGCGTGGTGCGCGCGGCGCTGTGCGCGGGCGCGGGCGCGGGGCTGCTGCCGCGCGCCGGCGCCGTGTGGCTGCTGCCGGCCGCGCTGCCGCCGCGCTGGCTGCGCCGCGCGCCCGCCGACGCGCACAACTGCAGCGACGAGCGCCTGCGCGAAGCGGCCGACGGCCACCTGAGCGTGGCGCCGGCCTGGATGCGGGCCTGGCGCGCGCCGCCCGCCTGGGAGCGGCGCTGGCGCGCGCACTGCGGCCGCGCGTGCGGCTCTCCGCCGCCGCACGCCGCCGCGCTCTACGACGCGCTGCGCCTGTGGCACGCCGCGCTGCGCCGCCTGCTGCGGGACGACCCCGCCGCCGTCGACGACATACACTGCAACGCCACCGTCAGGTATGACGAGTACCAAGCAACCAGCTTTGGTCGATCGGTCGTCCCCACTGCTCCTTCACGACAACGTGCCCCATACTGCGCAACAGATAGTCTCCAAGCTGCAAGAGCTAGGGTTGGAAGCTCTCCCTCATCCGCCATACTCACCAGACCTTGCACCTACCGACTATTACTTTTTCCAAAATTTAGACAACTTTTTAGTGGGTAAAAAATTTAATTCCCGAGAGGCAGTACAAAATGCCTTTGAAGAATTTGTTACCTCCCGTCCAGCTGATTTTTACAAGAAGGGCATCAATAAACTGCCAATGCGCTGGCAAAGATGCGTCGATTGCATGGGTGATTACTTCGAATAACAGAAATAAAAAAGTTTGAAAAAATAAGTACTTTCACTTATTGCATACAAAACGGCAATTTCATAGGTAAAGACCTATTATTTTATTGTCAAAATTACTGATCGTATGCGTAAATATCTCACTGAGGCGCCTGGCGCCGAATACGGCCATGCGTATGCTAGCCGTAGCCTAGCCCGGGCGGGTCTCGATGGGATGTAAGACCACCTCGACATACGCGAGTATTGAAATTTACAAGTGTTCAATGTAAATTTTAACTTGGAAATTTTTACCACGTCCATCCAGGGCACGGAGTATCCAGGGTTTTGTAGGATCGAAAAATGTTTAATTCAACCGAACGATTTGTTCGGCAGATCGCTGGTACGAGACGCGACGGCCACTAACTACAGCGGGCTGACGGGCACGTTCGAATGGGCCCCGGCCGGCGAGGGGCTGGCGCGCGTGTCGCCGCTCGTGCTGCTGCAGTGGATCAACGGCTCGAGCCAGCGCGCGGGGGAGTGGCGCGAGGGCGCGGGGCTGTCGGCGCTGGCGTTGCGCTGGCTGACGGCCGACGGCCGCACGCCCGACGACGGCACCGAGCGTTGCGCGCTGCAGCCGCTGGCCGAGCTCCTGCACGCCGACTGTCGCACCGCATTCGTGGCGCTCGGTGCCGTGCTGTTGCTTCTGCTGGCGATCGCGCTGGGCGCCGCGGCCTACTGGTGCAAGCGCCGCGCCGAGCGCGAGTACAGGCGTCGGCTCGCCGCTCTCGGCTTGCGCGAGCTCGGCCCGAAGCCGGGAGGGCTCGACCGCTGGGAGATTCCCCGAGAGCGCGTCGTCATAAACCGTAAACTCGGCACCGGCGCGTTCGGCACCGTGTACGGCGGCCACGCGTTGCTGGCGGAGGACCGCGGCTGGAGCGCGGTCGCCGTGAAGACGCTCAAAGCGGGCGCCACGACCGACGAGAAGCTAGACTTCCTGTCCGAGGCGGAGGCCATGAAACGCTTCGAGCACAAGAACGTGGTGCGGCTGCTGGGCGTGGTGACCAAAACGGAGCCGGTGTGCACCGTCATGGAGTTCATGCTGTACGGAGACCTAAAGAACTACCTGCTGGCTCGCAGACACCTGGGCGCCTCGGGCGAGGCAGGCGAGGAGGTGTCTGCGGCGCGGCTGACGTCGATGGCGCTGGACGCGGCGCGTGCGCTGTCGTACCTGGCGCAGCTGCGCTACGTGCACCGCGACGTGGCGGCGCGCAACTGCCTGGTGAGCGCGCACCGCGTCGTCAAGCTGGCGGACTTCGGCATGACACGGCTGGTGTTCGACAACGACTATTACCGCTTCAGCCGCAAGGGCATGCTGCCCGTGCGCTGGATGGCTCCCGAGTCGCTGGCGCTGGGCGTCTTCTCGCCCGCCTCCGACGTGTGGTCGTTCGGTGTGCTGCTTTACGAAATCGTCACATTCGGCTCGCTGCCCTTTCAGGGCTTGAGCAACGCTGAAGTACTGTCTCGCGTCAAAGCGGGTCATACGCTCGATCTCCCGCCGGGACTCAAACCTCAACTGTAAGTAGCTGCGAGTGAGGTGCGATAAAATTGCCATTCAATATCTAACCAGTCCCTCGTCACATTCTCAGCGAATACAACTACTCGTACAAGTAATTTATTCATATCAAAAATGTTTGTTATCGTCTGTGATGTAGACTCTAAAGTCATAGATCAACACCTACAATAGCAACAATCTCTGTTTTGTCAAACATTTAGCAAAATAAACATATATCGTATCGAAAATCTATGATATGCCTGTGCCAATCTACAACCGCCTGTTTCCAAGGGGTTGAGCATTATGAGAAGGAAGGGCAAAAAACGCAATGCCACTCTCTTTTCTAACTATCGAATAGAAACAAGCAATGGCATCATTAAATTATACTAAAACATTGTTTTGATATGTGCCAGCAGTTATTAAGGACAAAGTTAAAAAGGCAATCAAGAGAAAACAAGATTTAGAAAAAATATGTAATAAAAAAGAAAGTGAAGTAAAAACATAATAATGAAAAAAAAACGGCTTGAGGAGTCTATGGGGGGTCCATAGGCTCCTCAAGCCGTTTTTTTTAGAAGGAAGTTCCTTTCGCTTTGTGATATTATATCTTATATTATATTTTCATTAAGGATTTTATTGAGAATAGTTAAAGTTAATTACTAGGTAAAGTTTTTGATTTAATTAGTTAGAAAAAGTAGCACATTTTTCAATAATATTATTAATTCAGTTTATTTTTCGCTTTTTAGTGTTTTAAGTAAGGGGATTATTTGTTTGATGGTTTTTTTAAATCAGTTCAATTATTTATTTTTTTAAATTGGTTATTTTTTGATTTTCAGTGTAAATAATCATAGGTACGTAGTGGTAGAACTACTTCATATAAATCGAGAGAGGTAGCAACCTACGGAAAACGACCACCTTTAAATGTTATTCCCGCTGATGCGAATAATTGTGGTGGTTTGATGCACGTATTGAAACTGAATCACGTATTGGAACTTCGTTCCAAAAATAAACACACTAGCCCACGTCACATTTCCACTAGCCCGAGCTAAATTAATCCCAAGCATTCTTGTCTCCTATGTAATCCAAAATTGAGTAATAGAATTGAGGAATTGATTGCACGGACGGCGTAGTGGTTTAAGCGGTCCGAACCCCACATGGGACGACACTTTGTGTTATCCACAAATTGTTGTCCTGAGTCTGGGTGTTCTTTGTGTCCGTTTCATGTATGTTAGTAAAGTACCCCGCGACAGAGGAATATATTCCTAATGCGGGAGTTGTCTTTTATTTAAAACGAATAAGATTTCTGACGTAGTTTACCTTTTATTGTGGAATAAAAATTTGTTTATACTTAAGTCTCGTATAGTATTTGGGAACAATCCAAAAGCGAGGAATCGTCATCGGCATCACAGTACAGTGTAGGTGATCGTTTTCAGCGCAGGGCTGATCAAGTCGTGCTGGTCGGCGGACTACAAGGCGCGGCCGGGCGCGGCCGAGGTGGCGGCCTTCCTCGCGGAGTGGCCGCGTCTGCTGGCGCCTTGCCTCGACGTGCCGCTCGACGCGCTGGCGCTCGACCCCGAGCGCGACCCCACGCCCTGGCGCCTCGACCTCGACCGCGCCGAGGTGAGTGTCTCCGCCCGCCGACCCCGCCCCGACCCCTCGGCCGAGCGCGTTACGACGTGTGTATCGTTTCAGGCGCGGTGGGTGTCGTGGGGAGCGCCGGCGTCGGCCACCACCGACACGACGTACCTGAGCTCGGACGCGCCGCCGCCCAGCGACACGGACTCGTTCCTGCCGTGAGCGGCCCGAGCGTCGCGCACCCTTCCTCAATCATTCCGACTCTTTTCTAGTCACGACGCAGGTATATTACGCTTGCGGTAGACCTAAGCGTAACTTATTGTGTGCTTGTAAATATTACTCGTAAGTAGGTTAGTTTCTTACTCACTAAGAATTATGAAATAAAGTACGGTTTATATAAAGTTTAAGTTTATATATTTTACCTTTTAACGCTACCGCTCCTGGCCGGATGAAATAAATAACGCTCTCTCTAAAAATACTGCAACCGTTTAATGTCAATAATTTGTTACTAAAGGGCGCCTATTGATCCCAAGTGTACTTACCAGGAACGTTTCTACTAATGTCAGACAAGTTGAGGCTGGTGTCCTAATAATTGAGTATCAGGGGAACCTTCCAGATACTGTGGAAAGCATTACATAATATATAAAAATTATAAAAAAAATAATAAATAACATTGAAAGCCGCAATAGGGTCCACACATAGATAGGTAAGTCATCGTATAAACTCAGCAGAAACAACAGGGTTCTACAAGAGTCCACAAGAGAAGTCCGTTTAGTATACTACTCTGACAGGATAGCCTGATTGCGGCTATCGTGCGGAGCGAGAGTGCGTGGAACTCTGCCGTCTCCTTCTGCGAGCAAGTTATGCTCGCGAAGGAGACGGCGGAGCGGGACCGGGAGAGGTTTAGAACTCTCCCGGCCCGCCAGGCCCGGGCACGGGCCAGGCAGCGCAGGCGACTCAGGCGCCGGAGGTCGCAGAACGACCTCCGTCCTCCATAAGCGCAGGCCTGGGGGTGACAGGTGAGGCCATCTGTCACCCTAGCAGAAGCAGGCCGGGGTGGCGGCGAGCGCGTTGCGAAGCGCGCTCGCTTCCAGGGAGCACAGGGAACATGGGGTTCCCACACGGGGCGGGGGTCGTCTACTCGTCTGTAGATGACCCGAGGTATGTCGGGGCACCAGGGCCTTCCTTTCTAGGGTATACCTGGTTCCCCGGCTATTAGTACCCGGCGAAGGCGTGCGGTTTTAGTCGGTTCGAGTCCGACATGCCACCGACAGGTGGTATCCGAGGGGATTTCCGCACGGAAAAAAAAAAAAAAAAAAAAAAAAAAGGCCTCGTTAAAAAAATTAAATAAATAAAATGAAATCTAAATCTTCTTAAATGTGCAAGATTGAATATTAAAAGCTAAAATTAAAATATTACAAATTCTTATGCAAACGGGTGTGAGACCTGTGTTTCAGGCAGTCGCTTGACTATGATGTTAAGTAGTTACACCATGATGTTAGACGATCATATGCAAGTTCTAATAGATTATTAATAGTTATTAAATTACTTCAGACCGGTTTGTATACACAAATATATATTACTTATTGTTTAATAACATAATTAAAGTTAAAATTATATCATTTTAAAATTGCTAAGATGTTTTTTGTCTGCGTAATTAAGCTTACCTAAATATTGTCTTAATAGTTTGACACTTTGTATACGATACGGCATATATTTTCAATACTTTGTTTATCTTATTATATAGATATGGTGCTAAGAAGGGATAAAGTTGGTTAATGTACGTATGCGTCCTTCCTTCTGAAACGTTTGCACGTAGCACAGGTCGGGGGCAAAGAAATGGTCTTACATTCCTTAGATGTATGTCCGAGTTCACCACAGTGACTGCAAGTCGTGCTGCAGACATACATCACGGACTGGACATGATGTCCAGTTTATAAAAACGGCCTTGATTTATGAGCGCTTTCCTGATATAAGCAGGAACCCCCAGAATATAGTTGCAAGTTGAAAGATTTCTCTTACCCGATTTATGGCTCATCTTTATTGTAGAGAGGAAGTAGAGTCTCAAGTAGAATTAGGGAACTTGTCAACAAGATTTTGCTCGTATAATCAATCAACCGAAGACCTCTTTTTCAGCAAGGGCTACTGGCACTCCAATAAGTGATTCTAGGAGGACGTTTTTTAGGCTCTTCTATGGTAAGGCCCTACGATGCAGGTTTCTCATAATTGCGGAGTTTCTCTATGTCTCCTTTGGTCTCTGCACTAATGAGAACACCTCCACTTCTTACTTTCTTCACGCCACGAACAAGCAGTTTTATTTGTTCGGGTGAGATGATTTTTTGTGTCGTCGCTAGATTTAGTTTTATCATTTGGATATACGTGTGGTGACGGATTAAGAATACTGAATTTCACCACCCCTATTCACCCCATGAGTGTCGTAAGAGCCGACTAAGGCAGCAAACTACGCAGGACAATTGCAAAGAGAAGGAAAACTTGAAACAAACCCTACATCAACACGTTTGGCCAGCGTGGTATAGTAGGCCAAAACCTCCTTTTTAAGGAGAGGCCTATGTCCAGCAGTGGACTGTTATAGTCTGTTGATGATGATGATTGATGATTGGGAATTGCCAGAGAGCTTAAGTTAATTGGTCGGACAAACTTATCGGCATTTTTTTTGAACATGTCAGCAAAAGAGCTATTTGATGAACTGCTGACGGTTTTAGCTTCTCTTCGACCTATTCTTTAAAATCTTGTAATGTGCTCGCGATGTGCTTGGTCTGTGGTGCTTAAAGGTTACGTATGGTAGTGTGCGCTAGCATAGTCTTATGCTTCAAAGACTGATACATCACTGCCATATTGGATGTTCCATGGGCGATGTGGGGGAATCGCTACCACATTAATTCCCAGGTTCGTACCGGGATCCTTATCCAGTAAGGTAGGTTGGACGTTTAAGAAAAAATATCACTACACTGAGGTGGAAGTCGAAAATGAACGATAGTTTAGTAGTTCCAACAATTATATTTTAAAAAGAATCTTTACAAAATTAAAAGATATTTAGATAACAAGTTGATACAAAATAATGAGCGGTAGTAAGCGTGAGCGCCGAACGCGGAGTGCGTAGGTAGGTCCGTACATTGCCGGTCGCTAGGCCGGTGCGACGTCACACGCCATCCTTTTGTTTACTGCCTCGGGTGTATGGTCCAAGGTGCGAAAGTTGAGCGGGGCTAATAACTTCGTAGGATGTGGTGTAAGTAGGTACGCCACATATTCCCCCCGGCCAGACCGTGACTACGGTCGATAGAACTCGGGGAACTTGACGCGACGACCGCTCCTCGTTCTTCGTTCTTCCACTTCATCACCAGGAGTAGGCTGGGATGCAGGCACTGTAGTAGCAGCGGGTGTAGAAGCAAGCGGTACAGCAGAAAGCGACGGGGAAGTGGATGAGCGTTCTTCCTTCGTCATGTACGCTGGCTTCAACCTGTCAATAGAGACGTTAGTAGTTTTGCCGTTGACGTCTATAGTGAAGAACTTGGCATGTCTGTTGATAACCTTGAAAGGTCCTGAATAAGGTGGCTCCAAAGAAGCTCGCACGCGATCCTGTCGAAGGAAGACGTGGGAAGAAGAAGAGAGATCTTTGGGCAGATAGAATGGAGAAGAAGTATGCCAAGCAGTTGGACGTGGCGTAAGCTTAGCCATGTAAGATTTGAGTCGAGTAGCATACTCAGTGACGTCAGCGGCGGTGAAAGAGTCTGAAGGGGAAAGAAACTGGCCAGGTAAGCGGAGAGATTCACCATAAACCAACTCAGCAGGAGATGCTTGAAGGTCTTCTTTCCAAGAACTACGCATGCCAAGAAGAACAAGCGGAAGAGTTTCTAACCACTGAGAGGAAGAATGACACATTATTGCAGCTTTTAGTTGTCGGTGTAGGCGTTCGACAATGCCATTGGCGGCGGGATGGTAAGCAGTAGTGCGAAAGTGTCTGGCACCAAGAAGGGAGGAGAGAGCTTTAAAGAGATGGCTCTCGAACTGCCGACCACGGTCGGTAGTGATCCGGGCTGGACAACCAAATCTGGCGATCCACCCAGAGACGAGGGCTGCAGCGCAAGACTCAGCGGTGATTGATTTAAGCGGGTACGCCTCAGGCCAACGTGTAAACCTGTCGATGACGGTGAGGCAGTACATGTAGTCAGAGGAAGATGGCAAGGGACCAATAAGGTCAAGATGAATGTGTGAGAAACGAGAAGAAGGAGTCAGGAATGTGGATAGAGGAGAGGTAGTATGGCGAGTAACTTTACTTGATTGACATTGCAAGCATTGCCTAGCCCACTCTCTACAATCTTTGCGGATTCCTGGCCACACAAACTTTTGCGTGACCAGTCGCACTGTAGCAGAACAACCGGGATGATGTAAGTTGTGCAGCATCGCGAAGACTGTTTTCCTGAAACTCGGCGAAATGTATGGTCGAGGTGGCTGAACAGACATGTCACAGTAGACTGGAAGAGTGCTGTTCAAGGTAAGTACCTTTTGTAGTCTTAGGGCAGAACCACGTAGTAGCAGGTCTTGCAGTTCTGGATCTTCGTCCTGAGCACGTGCAAGAGCCTGATAGTCTAAGGTAAGTGATACTTCCTCAACCCGAGAAAGTGCATCCGCAACCACGTTGTCTCGTCCTGGCAGGTAGCGTATATCGGTAGTAAATTGGGCTACAAGGTCCAGATAGCGGAACTGTCTTGGAGTACAGTTTTCTTTGCTCATGGAGAAGGAGTAGGTAAGCGGCTTGTGATCCGTGAAGACAGTAAAGGTTCTCGCTTCCACCATGTGCCGAAAATACTTGATAGCCTCATATACAGCCAGGAGTTCGCGGTCGTATGGGCTGTATTTCATCTGTGAGCTGGAAAGTTTGTGTGAATAGAACGCAAGAGGTTGCCAGTCCTCACCTTTCTTCTGTTGAAGTACAGCTCCGATGGAAGTCAAAGAAGCATCCGTGACGATCGCTAACTCTGCAGAAGGATCTGGATGAGCAAGGAGAGCTGCATGAGAGAGAGAAGCTTTGCAGTCCTCGAAAGCTTTACGATGTTCTGGAGTCATTTCCACAGGATGTGAACCCTTAACCTTCGGACCAGATAGAACGGCATTCAAAGGTGCTTGAAGTTGAGCTGCGTGGGGTAGAAAACGATGATAAAAGTTGATCATACCCAAGAATCGACGAAGCTCTTTGACCGTTT